CGGGGCGCGCGTGCTCGCGGGGGCGGGGCACGCGGCGGGCGCGGGGGCGCGCGGCGGCGGCTCGTTCCGTTCCGGGCCGAGGCTCGCGGCGGAAAAGTTGCGGGGCGGAGAGGAGCGGCCCCGGGACTGGCAGCGAGCGCGACGCCGAGCCGGCTCCCGGCGCCCGCGGTCCCGCCATGGACGACCTCGGTGAGTGAGCGGGAGGTCGAGGAAGGAGGGTGCGAGGGGCGCGCGGCCTCCCGGGCGGGAGCGAGCTGGCGGCGGGGGCTGCGGGATCCCTCCTCCGGCGGCCCGGGTCCTGGCTCTGCTCGCTGCCTGATGGAGCTCCGCTGGGCCGGGATCCCGGGCCCGGCCTGAGTCCTTTGCCAGGCCGGCCCCGCCGCGGTCCTCACAGCCGCCACCCCCCGCCTCGGGGACGGCTCCACCTCCGGACTCGGGACCTCGGGGACCCACCCCCATCTCCCAGACCAGCCTCAGGGGCCAGCTTGCGCCTCGGGGACCCGCCCCGTCCGCCCCAGGGACGGACCCCCGCTGCCGGCACAGCACCCCCCCCCCCCCCCCCCCCGCTGTGGGACCCTCCCTTCACAGAGGGGTTCCCTCACCCCCTACTTCACTGATCGGCCGCCCAACTCGGGGAACAGCTGCCTGAACTCCTGGTTGGTCCCTCATTTCCAGGACCTACTCTCACCCCTTTGAGGACCCCCACTTCACAGACTGGCACCCCCACTTCAGGGATAGCCCCTCCAAGCCCACCCTTTTCATTTCACAAGTTAGAGATGAGCCTCCGATGACCACACCCCCACAAAGACAAGTTTCTCATCTGTCCCCACTAACCACCCCCCCACCCCAGGTCTGGGCACCCTGTTTCATGGGCTGCTCACTCCATTTCGCTGACTGTCCTGTCCACTCTGTGGGCCAGCCCCTCCCCTTTCCTATCACAGATCAGCCTAATCCTAGAAGAGTAAGCTGGGGAGACATGATTCTTCCCCCACTCCCAGATTCTGGTGCAGTGCCAGGGGAATGCAGTGGGAAGTGGGCCCCGAGGTATGGCCATCTCTGGACTTGTCGGGGGCTGGCAGAGTTCCCCCCATCCCCTATCATCAAACCTTGCTGGAGGCCACGCAGGTAAAGAGGACAGGATGCCCAGAACAGAGTTTTACTGTTTTCTTGTTATCGGAGCTCCAAAACTACCCTTTTCAGTGCTGTGTAGACCTGGTGTTAGGGCAGGGGAAAGTATCTCCTGAAACCAGACACGAAACCCGAGGGGGTTGAGGCCAGGGTTCTAGGAATGCCTTGAGTGGCCTGAACCCTATGGTGAGAGGATTCACTTCTTCACTGTCTGTCCCTCCCCTTCATGCCTGTAGCTGGAGGGCCTCCGAGCTGGGGAGGTGAGGGGGGGGGGAGTTTCTTCTCTGTAGGAGCCTTGTCTTCCCTCTCTGGACTGTGGGTGGCTTGTGTGACCATTGATGCTTTCTCTGTCCCAGGCTCTGAGGAGCAGATTCATCAGACAGCACTGACGGGCCTCCCCCAAGCGCACAGGGCACTAAGTTAAGACTGGCTATTTGTAGGTACTGGACTTCCAAGCGGACAGGGAGGAGGACCGCCAGCTTCCTTTTGAAAAAGATCAGGGCGCTGCTGAGAGATCCCGGCGCTGGGGATGGCGTCCAGTCCTGCCTGTTTTGTGGAGTGCGATGGCTGCCAAGCATAGTTCTCTGCCTTCGGGTCAGGCTTGGCACCCATTTTTCCAACACCAGGTTGGCGTGCCTTGCAGGCAGGTTCCCCCCCCCCCCCCCCCACATAAAAGATAAGCTGAAAGGAGGCTGGGGGGATAGGTTTTGAATCAGGATCTGAAAGTCTCAATGCTTTCCCAGCAGGAACTGGGGAGCAGAGTTACAGTTTCTAAAATGCTGATGTGGTGCTGTTGCTTCTGTGCAGTCCCTTCCACACAGTGCTGTTTGAAGGTCCGAGAAGGTTTTGTAGAGTTTGCTGTTGGAGTCCAGAATTCCTGTCCCCTGATGGTCTTCCATTTGGGGCCAGGAGACTGAGCTAGTCTCAGGGAAAGAGAGGAGAGTGGTATAGGGGGTGACAGGAATTGAAATTTGCAGTTTATGGAGGGCTTCCCCGTACCTCAGCATGTCCCGCTCTCACAGCAGCCCTTCATAAGAGCCCCTTAGGGCCACTGCTGTCATCACTGCCTGCCTTTTATGAATGGGAAAAACTGGGAGTCAGAGAGGGTGATTCACTTGCCCAAGGCTGCACAGCCACAGAATGACAAAACCATGACTAGAGAGAAGCCCGGTCCCGCAGCTCTCATGGACCGAGAGGCCTTTCTTCCTGAGGAGGGGGGTAGGCAGCATGTGAAGGAGGAGTCTCAGGGGGTGACGGCTGCCACCTGTAACTTCTGCCGCCTTCCAGCACAGACTCCGCAGTTGTTTCCGGGCGGCCGGACTTCCTGGGCCTCAGCTCCCGGGAGGCCAGCCACGCCTGGCTGCCCTGGAGTCCCAGAGCCCCGGGGTGGGAGCAATGGGGCGAGCAGGAAGGGGAGAGGAATTTGCCTCTGTGCTCAGGCCCCATCAGCTGTCTGGATGGCTGCTCAACACACTGCCTGTCAGCTGTTTTCCTTAGTTTGGGTGGACACAAAGGCCAGGCTGCTTATTTTGATTTTTCTCCTGAGAGTGCTTTCAGCTGTGAGCCTCCTGGTCCCTGAAATGGGAGAGTTTATGGTCTGTCCTGTGGCAAGGCTAGAGGGGGGCAGAGACTCTGCTGTGACTTTGTTTTTTTGGGTCTCAAAACAAAAATTGGGGAACTCTTCTCTCCCCTTAGCTGCTGGTGACAGACTCACCACGTGCTGTTTAATAAGTTACGAGTTTATAGCTCTTTGGGCAGAAAAACATCAACACTGCCCTTGCCTGTGTGTTCTCTCTGCTTCGTGCTGCGGGGTGGCTGCTGGTGGCTTTTCCCATTACTGTTTAGACGCTGGTTTGGCCCGGAGTTCGCCCTGTTGAGTTCTGGCTGGAGTTTCCTGGACAGAGCTCCCACAACACTGAGATGCACTCTGATTACCGTTTCCGACCCAACTCCTCACTCTCCCTCGTTCATGTTCCTTAGTGCACTTGGGGGGCTGTGACCACAGCTGCGGTCCAGTAATAGTCACGTGTGCTTGATGGGAGACAGGCATCAGACTCAGCACTTTATGGGTATGATCACCGCCATTCCGAGGGGGAGAGAGAGAGAGAGAGAGATGTTTTATCTCCACTGTACAGATGTGGAAACCTGAGCTCTGGGAGGTTCACTGGGGGGAGCTGGGATTGGAACCCAGACTGACCCAATTCCAGATCTAGTCATCAAAATCATAATAAGGTTAAATGCTCAGTGAGGTGACTAACCGGAGGATGAGCCTTGAGGCTGCTGAGTAATTGCTAGTTACCTTTGAAATTTGTGTGCTGGGGGCCATCCCGAGGAAATGGCCTCTGTGGCAAAGGGTGGGTCCAATTCAGACCTTGATAGCTTTGCCTTCCCATCTCTTCTAGGGGGGACAGCCAGCTGTTGGCAATGCCCAGTTGCTTCTAGAATCTGGACATGTCTTCCTTCAGCTTCTCAGCAGTCTGGACCCTCTGAAAAACAGTGCCTCATTGTCCTTAGGGGGAGTGTTAGGGGGGCAGGGGAGTTGCTTGGGGCATTCCGGACTACGGAGCCTCCCTGTTTCCATGGAAAGTCTGGACTTCGGGCTTGTCTGTCTGTGGTGTCTCTGTGTGTTAGGCCAGGGTCAGGGCATCCAGCTGCTGGGCCTGTGGCAGGGGCAGCTGTGGAGTGATGTTGTGTTCTTCGTCAACACCAGATCTTCTGGGCAATGCACCAGTGAGGTGCAGAGCTGGGCTCCAGACCCTGGTGTGTTTGAGTCCTAAGCAGGTGCCCTTTCTGTTGTGCTTAGCTGTCTGCTGTCTGGACAGCCTCAGCCCAGTGTGGAGAGGTTTGGGCTGCTCTGCCATTGTGGGTTGGAGGTCTTCCAAGAGAACATCGAAGCACTGCCTCCAGCTTCCCCAGTGATGGCCCTGCATTGAGAGGCTGGGGGGGTCCTTGGCAGGAGAGGCCTACGAAAAGCCAGAATTACCGCTGAGGCACTCACGCAGCGCCTCTCCGCCATGTTCACGTTTTGCATGGAGTGTGCTGACCTGGCAAGGGCCTGTTACCTTGCTCCAAGGCCAGAGAGTTGAAAGACTTCCTCCTACCTTCACACTCGTTCCAGCTCTTCCCTGTGTTGTCCTGGTCTCAGCGCCTTCACTAATAACAAACATCCGTAGAACTCTTTCTCATAATGTTTAAATGTTTAATGAGCACTTATTATGTGCAGGCACTGTGCTGGGCACTTTACACACATTGTTTCATTGACTCATGTTGGCCACAGGAAGCACAGGTTCTGTTCTTAGTACTACTACTACTACCCATTTTACAGATGGGCAAACTGAGGCACAGAGAGGGTTAGCCCCCTTGCCCAAGTTCTGTTAACTAGAGAATAGCAGGGCTGGGGTTTAAATGCAGAGTCGGGCTTGTAACCATTTTTACACCTCTGCTCGTGATACTGGATCGGATCTTGGTTGCCTGTTGGTTTGATTGTGTTACATTTCTAGATGCTAAACATCTTTCCTGGCTCCTCCCCACACGCCTCATCCTCTGTTCGGTGTCCCACATCCGTCTTCTTCCTTCCTGTTCCCTGTGGCTTCTCTGGTTGGAATCAAGCTCTCTGTGCCCCTTCTCCATAGAGATTTGCTCCTGTCTTCATTCAGGTGTTTGTCCTTTGCTGCACCAACCCTTTTCCAGAGCAGAAAGTTGTTGAAAACTTTTTTTTTTTTTAATTTTTTTTTTTCCAACGTTTATTTATTTTTGGGACAGAGAGAGACAGAGCATGAACAGGGGAGGTGCAGAGAGAGAGGGAGACACAGAATCGGAAACAGGCTCCAGGCTCTGAGCCATCAGCCCAGAGCCTGACGCGGGGCTCGAACTCACGGGTCGCGAGATCGTGACCTGGCTGAAGTTGGACGCTTAACCGACTGCGCCACCCAGGCGCCCCTGTTGAAAACTTTTAAGGAGGAGAATTGAAGACGTACTCTGGAAGGGAGAGACAGAGAGAAAGAATTAGGGGGCTGAGTTTTCCCAGAAGCCTTGACAAAGCACCTGATGAAAAGGGGTAT